TTTTATATTTTATCAAACATTGATGGGAGATAACTAACAAGGTCCCTTATTAGTAATCTATTTTACACTTTTAACAAGACATAAACCATGATGGGCTTGTCTAAAAAGTCAAGTGAATACACTGCTCATAGAGCATTTTCATTGATATTTTTATACTCTAAGGTCTAAATGATCAATTTCGGAGATCTCAAAAAGATTTCATACTAATCATGTCAGTTGAATAGTATGACGCAATCGTTGAAATATCTGTTGAAATTTCAAAATTTAATTCGCGTGCAGCGTAAAAAAAAGAGTATGACAAAGTCAAAAGTAATCATTCCTTGAACCCTAATTTGTAATAACTATTGAAAATATGTAACACTATATTTATTCACAATCCAATCCAATACAACTTAATAATAATAAAATATTCATCTCCCCTCCACCTACACAAATAAATATCTAGACCATCTTTATGAACAACCTATCTTAACCTAACCTAATAATTAAAAATTATTTTTCTCTCCTCTATCTACACAACTCAACTTTGAACTCAAATTAATTTTATCAACAACCCAATACAATCCAAAATATTTATTTAATTTTATATATTTTATTTAAAGTTACAATTGTATTCTAAAACCTGTCAAATGTGATCACTATTTATAGAATATGAAAGAATACGAATTTTAGTATTTTTTTATTATTTTTTAACACAAAGAAATTTACATGTCTAATAAAAATAGGACAAACGTCCCATGTAGTGCCCCATTCGATTTATATGAGCTGATGTATTTTTATCTTATTTTATTTTTATTTTTATCTGCATTTCATTTTATTTTATTGTATTTCTCGACCAACTTCTCGATTAAATTTATTAAGATGTCCTCGTATAATTAATCTACTAAGTTGAATATAACTTTTTTTTTTGGTAGATGTCCTCATCATATTATAACTGTATTACATATGTAACTGCAAATGGCCTTATTACACTGAGATAATGAGTACAAGGACAGTAGAAAAACATTAAAACCCGAAGTCTTATTAGATGATGTGGTGTTCAAGGTTCTTGATCGATAAAGAAGTTGTCTTGTGGAGATGGTGATGGTGTTTGTGGGTCGCATATTAAAGAGCCTTTTGCGCAGCTAATGAAGCAATCCGCAGCACCATTGTTGGTATGACATTTATTGCAGCAATACGGACAATAATCTGACCATTTTGAACAATTAAATTTAGATATATATTTAAAAAACTAGTAACCTTTTTTTGTTATTTTATTACCAATTTCTCTCGTATATAATATATTAAATTAATTATTCTTCTGCAAACTTTGATTTGACTTCCACATTTCATGAACATAATAAATATAATTATTTTTTTCCTTTATAAATAAAACTTAAATCATCAATCAATCATAACTGAGAAATATTAAAGTTATTATCTATTAATCAAATAAATTTATATATAAAGCCTATTGTATAAGATAATATTGGAAGAGCAAGTCTTACTATGATGGATGTCATTTTAAATAAAAAATAATATAATTTAAAAATATATTTGTAAAAAATTTGTAAATAACAATTTCTTAATTAAATAATTGTAACTACAATATAATCTCTATGAATTAATACTCGGTAAATTAATAATCTCTGCAAAATAATATTTTCTCCCGCTCCCGACTTGGGCCTAGGGATGTCAACAAAATTCGTAGGGCGGGGTTACCTGCGGGTTACCCATATTTCTGAGTCGGGTAAACCCGAGATGATTGGGTTTCGGGTCGGGTTCGAGTAGAATTATGCTACCCGAACCCCTGTCGGGTCGGTTCGGGTGCGGGTATAGTAGGCAAACCATTACCCGACCCAATTACCCTACTCGTTTACCCGCAACCATTGAATCATATATATATAATTTATTATAATATAAAAGTAGTCATGTGTTATTTTTAAAAATTAGATTATCTATTATAGTTTGATTAATGGTTTATTTAATTTTTTTATAATTTTATTATCATTTTTTGTTAATTTTTTTTTCGAAACGACAGAGGTACTATTATAAATGAAAAGCGCACAAATGTACGAATAAAACTACAAAGCTCCCAAGGGGAGAATAAATTGGGAGGACATGTCAGAAGCCCGCCTAGAATCCCGCTAGCAATACTAGAATAAAAACTCGAACTAAACAGAGTAATAAGATGACACCCGGGAGCACAGAGGCCAACGGCCCAGACAAAAAATACAAGACCAAAGAACATACATCAAAAACACATACCAAACAAAACTACAACAAAAACAAAAAGGAGAACACAGCCTCCCCTGCCAGATACATCTAGATTTACGACAGACAAACCAATTACAAAGACAGCACCAGAGCATAGAGACGACCGCCTACCACTGCAGAAGGCCTAGCAAGACGGGTATCCGCGCCCCAGTACCAACCAAGTAACTGGACTGCACTCCAATCACGCGAATAAGCACGGCTCGGCTTCACCGAGTCAGCCCTCCTGAAACAGCGACCACACAACCCAGCCCGAATCGACAGAACACAACCGACAACCGAGCACTAACTGAAAGCAGCTTCCTGCCTCCAGCAGTAACGACGATCTCCAACCGTGAATCCCGAATCTAGCTCGCCAAGAAGGAAAGAGTTCCTTCTGATTGAGGACAAAATAGAAAACCGAGACTAAAGCAGCAATAGCAAGAGCAAACCTTCAATTGACACAACCGGGTGTCGAATTGGAAAAGGCCTCTGCCAATCGCCGCTTCGCCGGCGAAAAGGCGCAGGTCCTGATCGGTGGCGAGGAGGGCGAGCAAGGAGATGAAGCCGCATCCCAGCAAAAGCCGATTGCAGTGGACCCAGCCTCGTCCATGAACCGACACTGCACCACGACCATCGCAACCAAAACCTGGACTCGAGCAACCAAAAATGGAGGAGGAGCATCTCCGTTGTCCGACATGCAACCCAGGACGAAGCTTCAGAAGATGGGACGAGGGCGGCACCACCATGGACGAGCGACGGAGGCCGTCCACCGATAGACCCAGACGTCTGACAAGGAAGATTCGATCGGCGGAATTAAAAGCGACGGATCGGCTAGGGTTTTAGTGAGAGAAAGGGTTGTACACTAAAAAAAATTATATACTTAATTTTTAATTGTTATAATATTAAAGTGACTATAAAAGATAAATAATTATATCTTATTATTTATTAAATTATATAATTATTTTATAGTCTTTTATTGTCAAACTTAGTCAATAAATTATTTCTTACATTATAATTAATTGTGAAATTATTTTATTTTATTTTTCATATGAAACGAGATGGGTCGGGTAAAACTCAAATTTAAGATTTGGGTTACCCGTTTATCCGACGAAAACCCACTAACCCGCTTGGTAAAACCCAACCCGGACCCGATGATCACTAGTCGGGTTTGTGTAGGGCAAATTATATGCGGGTCGGGTTCGAGTTTGCCAAAAATCCGTACCCGACCCGACTCATTTGCATCCCTACTTGGGCCAATGAAAAAAATTATAAATTTTAATAAAATAATAAGATAATAATTTTTAGAAAGACCCGTTTGTAAATATATAGTCGCATCAAAATCATAAATTAATAATTCTCTAAAATTGCAAATATAATTCAGGCAATTTAGTAAAATATGAATCTATTGTTTTTTGTTTCTTCATCAAATTCAAATCTAAATTGATTTCATCCTTAAGTTTTCTCATTGCATTCAAAAGCTCTGGTGTCGTACTCTTAAGCTGCAACAGAAAGTTGTGAAAATTTATGGATGACATTAGTGCTTCCTTCCGTGTGATTGGTTCTAAAGGTACTGAATCATAAACATCATCCTCAACAGAATTTCCAATGACACTATCCACAATTTCTTTTATGCTTTGGTCCTCTAAACATCCACCATGTTCACCTGGATAATCTTATAAGTGTTTGGCATCCATTTTGTTGTGGTAACTCAAATCATTAATCATTTTCTCAAGTTCACAGATGCTTTCTTCAAAAGCCACTTCATTAGAGCTACTTAAGGTTGCATCCCCAAACGAATTTTGCAGTGTCGAAAACAAGTCTACTTGCTCACCAAGTACAAACTACACTTGCCAAAATTTATATTTGCTAAATCTTGAAAGCACTCTTTAAATTAATAAATTATTAATTTATTAATTAATTAATATCTCTATAAGTTTATAAAAACTTATGGTCCCAACATTATTAAATTATAGAGGTTTTACTATAATTTAAATAAAATTACTAGGTGAAATGTTATGATAAAAAGCAGAAAATGTATAAAGACTTTATTTTGTTTATTGTTAAATATTTGTGGGCAAAATTTAGAAAATGTACAAGTACTTATAATTAGAAAATGTATTTGAAAGTTAAAATGAGACATTGAAGAAGTTTTATCATTCTTGATTAGTTAGCATGTTTTACTGTGTTGGTATCATATTTTAAGGCTTACATAATTTATATGTTTTCACTTATATTAGATATTAAATTATAAATTAGTTTACTTATTTTTCAGTTGTTCAATTATACGTTATGATCATACAACTTAATTTTCAAGTTGGTAAGTCATTGTGGGTCAGCAACGATCTGATAGCTTTTCATTTTTGTTAGTTATAATTGTTGTATTATGTATTGTAGGGTTAGGTTTATAGGCCTAATCTTGGGGAGTCCCATCTTATGTTTTTATATATATGTACATAGTCCTGTGTTAATAAAAAAAATTATATATTTTATGGCTTTGAAGTTAGACATGGCAAAGACTTTTGACAGAGTTGAGTGAAAAAAACATTCAATTAACCAGGCTGAGGATGGGATTTAATGCTATTTTTTTTAAATGGATCATGTCTTGCATCCCTGCACCCTCTTTTTCTTTCAACATTAAAGGACAACCTAAAGGTTTCATCACTACTTCAAGGGGAATTAGACAGGGAATCATCTATCCCCCTATCTATTCATCATCATCACTGAGCTTCTCTCTGCAAGAATTGTCTCAAAAGCTTCTAGAGGAGGATTCAAAGGTCTAAAAATTGCTAGAGGAGGTCCAGAGCTAACTCATCTCCTATTTGCAGATGACCTTCTCATACTCTGCAAACCTGAGGTTTCCCAAGCCCAAAAATTGCTTCTCTTCCTGAAAGACTACTACCTGTTCAAAGGCCAGTAGGTAAATCTTGCAAAGTCTTCTATTTTCTTCAGCAAGAACACCCCTCTAGAGTTGCAGGAAAATTGCTGTCAAATTTTGAATGAGATTAAGCTTCATTTCTCCTCTAATACTTGGGTCTTCCCTTGGACATAGGAAAGTCAAAAAAAGAAGATTTTAATTGTGTTATTGAAGTGGTAAAAAGCAGGTTGTGTAGCTGGAAGAACAAATGGCTAACTCCAACTGGAGAGGAAGTTTTGATGAGAGCAGTTATCAATGCTCTTCCTATTTTTTCAATGTCATGCTTTATCCTTCCTCTGAACTTGTGCAAAGAAATTGCTAGTATATCAGGTGGTTTTTAGTAGAGCAAAGGAGAGGATCCAAAGAGAGGTCTGCACTGGAAGGCATGGGATTACCTTACTCTCCCAAAGAATCTTGATGGTTTGGGATTCCAGGATATTCACTGTTTCAATGAAGCTCTTATTGCTAAACAGCTATGGAAGATTCTAAACCATCCTGATCTTCTGGTTAGTAGAATTTTAAAAGCTAGATATTATCCTGACTCTTCTCTTCTTGCTGCTCAGAGGAAGACAAATGCTTATTGGCTTTGGAACAGTTGGGTCAAGGTTAAGGAGAACTGTGGCAAATGGTTTTTCTCTGAAGTTAGAAATGGTAAAAATACCAGGATTATTGATGACTTTTGGGTGCCTGGGCTTCATGGTAAAAAACTGTGCTTTAAATCTGAGGCTGATTCAAATTTGACTTGGGTTAATGAGCTTCTCTCAACTGATGGCACTACCTGGGATGAGGAGAAAATTAGACAAAACTTTGCAGATGAGGATTGCTTAAACATCTTGAATATCGCTTCCCTATCTACTGATTTAGAGGACCACTGGATTTGGAAGCAAGATATGAAGGGTAAGTTCACAGTCTCAAATGCCTACTCATCTATCATTCAGCAGAAGTTTCTGAAGCTGGACAAAGCCCAAAGCAGCACTGCATATGTAAGAGACCAGAAGGTGAGAGCAAGACTCTGGAAACTTCAAGTCAAAGGCAAAATCAAGCATTTCAGGTATTGAGGTTGCCAGTTGCTGCTAATTTGATTAGAAGAGGTGTTGAGGTTGATCATATTTGTAGAGTCTGTGGTTTAGCTGAAGAAACAACAAAACATGAATTTTTTCTTTTGCTCCAAAGCTCAACTTGTGTGGAAACTTTTCCGGTTCAATGGGATGGTCCTAAAGGTCTTGATACTCTGAAAGATTGGTGGTGGCACATCTCAAGCCTTAACAACAAGGACATTTCAGAAGCCCGAATACAGCTCACTACTTATATATTATGGAGATCCCGGAACTTGTGGGTGTTTGAAAGCACATCTAGGCCGACACCTCTCATAGTTGAAGCTGTAGTCAAAGAGTGGATTGAGTATGAGAAGGTCAGCCGGTCTATTGCATTGAGAAGGAAAACCAGCAGAAGTTGATGGTCTAGGTTCTTTTGCTGAGCAGTGGAAGTCTCTTTTTCTAGTTTTCTTTTTCTTAGTTTCTATCATATTGTTGCTGTTTGTTTATGTAGGGCCTAAGGTTTCGATTGGGTATTAACTGCTTAGGCCATATGTTAGTTTAGTTTATTTCTGATTTTCTTCTAGACCACCTGCGTGCGGATCTCCCTTATTTTTCGGCATTCAGATTTTATCCGGGTTGTATTCAAACATTGTTGTTTGTTTCTTTTTTATGAGTATTTCTATCGTTCCGACAAGAA